CACCCAGCCGGACTGTCAAAAAATAAGCCAAAAAAACAACAAAAAAAAGGGGTTTTCCGCAATAAAAGGCCCCAAATTAGCATTGCGACGGCCGTGGGCGTTTGAATTTATTTCGAGAAATTTATATGGATTTGTGTGACGTGGGAATTGAAGCATTTTGGGGCGTAAGGTCCCCGCCCCACGCAAGCGCAGCGGCTCAGGCAAACAACGGGGCGGTTTCCGGCAGCCTCCTCGCCCGTGCTTTATTCCCAAGTTATAAAAATAAAAGGAAAAATATATACGGGATTTTATTGTAATGGGGAACGTAGCGTGACATCAAAAATAACAACAGGAAAAACACAATGAAATCCCAGCGGGGAACAAACCACGAGGGATATGGTAACAACAACAACAACAAAAAATAAAATAAAGCCGCCAGGAAACGGTGACTCGTACCCGCTCTGGCTGCAGGGCAGGGCGAGCGCGGCGGGATTTGTTGGGAATAACCCAAATTCCTCTGCAATCCGGAAAACCGAGCCGCCTGCGCGGGCGCCAGGAAGGGAAGTCCTTCTCGGCAGGCTGTTCTCCCTCGAGCGAGCGCAGCGTCAAGCGATGAAATCCAGGGGCCTGTTGAATCCTCCTTTTCTGTTCATGTACTGCCTGCGGCCGAAGGGAAGGAACCGGCGTCAGCGCCAGGGACAAACCCCGCCAGGGCTCCCAGCTCTGAAGAAATCCGCACAAAAACACCCGAGGGCGGCCTGTGACTGCGCTCAGCGGCTGCGGGGAATGGAATTCCCCATGGATTTGCACAAACGAGGGTAGGAAACCTCCCAGCGAGGCGGCGTCTCGCATAGCCCGGACTGTTTGAGGACCCTGGCACCCGTCTGGCTAAACCGGGCACCAGAGCCGAAGCCTGGCAGCACAGCCTGGCCATACGCTCCGGTTTCCATCAAAAAGGAAGCCAAATTAACAAACTGAGTGGGGTTTTGGGGTTTTTTTTTGGTAAGAAACAGGCCAACAGTGCTGCTTAGGCAGGCTCACTGCTCCGACCCGCTCAGGCTGTGCCTGGCACGTCCTGCTCACGCACACTGTGCTCTTCCACTCCTCAGTTCTGCTTTCACCGTTTCCAGGAGAAACCAGAGGCCTCCTACCTCCGTTTGACGGTGAAAACCGCAAACTTTGCCTTTTTCCGAAGGCCCGAAAAGCCAGATCACCCCCTGCACATGCTGAGAAACGGCGGCTTCAACGTGTGGCCACGGAGTTTCCTCCGCACTGCGTGATCTCGTCAAAGAAATTCTTTTTCTATCCCCCAAAAAAAAGGCTGGGCACAAACCTGTACTTCCTCTTCTGGGACACGTTGATGGCGTATGCGTTTGCAGCACCGTCCACCTTCTTTCCCTGAAAGACATTAAGAAAAAATGTCTCAAAATTCAGCGTGTTATCCCCAAAAAGGGCATGGCGACACCACCGAGCCCGCCGGAGGCAGCCATGGGCTCCACCGCGCCCCTCCGTACTCACCTTCGTCGTGTCGAAAGAGGCGAAGCCCATCATTTTCATCATCTCAATTTCCTCTTCCGTCTTGCCCTGCAAATCTTCCTCTGCCAAGGCAACAAAATAAGAGAGTTCGACAAACGCAGCCCTCGGGGTTCGCCAAAAACATTTTAAATAAGCACCCGGGTGTCCCCTGGGCCGGTCCCAACCCAAGCAGGGAACGCAGGACGTATTTAAGGAGGAAAATCCACCCCCTCACCCGTGATCTGTCGCTCTTTGCCTTTGGAGTCCTTTATCTCCTTCTTCTCTTCATCCCGTCTTTCCTTCAGCCGCGGCGGGGAGGAGGAGCTGGATCGGTGCCGTCTCGGCGACCTGATGGTGCAAAGGCAGGCGGGTTTGCAGCTTCCCCGGCTGTGCCATTACCGCAGA